CTGACTGGGTTATATCATATTTTCTTTTGTCTCTCATCCTTCTTGTATATTTAGCAGTTTGACAGCTAAACGCCACCATTTAATGTGCATATGCAACCAAAGGCAAACGCGTGGTTTTGAAGATGTTTTTATTTAATAAATTGTGATTGATAGATTAAAATTAAAGTAATAAAGAAAGTTGTAACAAGTCGAATAAAGTTTAAAGTGAAGGGGAATATAAAAATGCATTAGTGAAGTGGCTGCTTTAAGGAAAATAGGAGTGATAAATGTGAGCTATTTTCCGAATTTTACAAAAAAGGGCATATTTCAAACCCAATTTGTAAATAAATTAGTGACCAAAAATTACAATAGTGGATGTTAAAGTAATGGGTAGACCCTTGGCTACAAGTGTGTGCAATTTTTTTTTGGATCGGGTCACCCCTTTGGACGCAATACCCCGAAATAGGTGGGCCACTTACTAAACCGTACCCTTTTTTTCTTTATTAATTAAATTTTTTAAATTCGATTGTGTTAAACAAAAGTTTTTTAATTTTGTTTAATATTTATAAGCTCTTTATTTTATATTTTATTTTATTACTTTTTATTTAATTTTTCTTTGATTTTGGGATTTTATTGTTTTAAAAAGAAAAATATTTTTCGGTTGTTTAAACATCTATCATTGCATTTAAGGCAATTTTTTTCCTTTTTTATTTAACTTTTAAAATGTCTTTTATTTAATTTTCTTAAAATTTTTAGATTTTATTGTTTTAAAATGAAAAAAAGTATACATAAGTATATATATTTAATTTGATTTTTATAAATTTATTTAGATTATTTTCCTTTCTTAAATAACATTATCTTTTAATTTTTAGTTTTTATTATTTTAAAAAGAAAAACAAAAATATATGCTTTATTTTGGAACGAATTTCCGTCATCACTCGTCAAGTTTGGTTTGGATACAAACTGGTTTCGGCGTTGTGCCATCTTCAGGGTCATTTTTCGGTCTCGAACGAAACAGGTTTGTCTCCAAACAAAGCTTGACAAGCGATGACGGAAATTCGTTCNAAAAAAGACGTTCAAGATAGTTACCACAATTGCCCTGTTATAATGTAGAAAAATTTGAATTTCTCCTAACTCACACTCTAGAATCGGGACGGTGCGCGACCCAAAGACTGGCTTGCTAACCGCTGATTTCAGCAACGAGATGCGCATGTGGTCTTTTGAATCCATTTGCTATGTGGCGCTAAATTCACGTCTACACCTTATCACAGGCAAAGCCGATGCCGATGCGATGCGTATGTCCAGCACCATGGCGGAATTCATGCAGGCCACCTATGAGCACGATATCGCACCATCGATTTGGCGAATCATAAAGACGCCCAGTTTTAAACGACTTATGCGCTTGCATGACGACTTGACAATGCTCACCAGGAAATTCATTGATAAGGCGCTGGAGCGCATCGAAGCGGAGGGGAGAAAGGAGGCGGTAAGTGTATTGGAAAAGCTTTTGCGCGTCGATAAGAATATAGCTGTTGTGATGGTAATTGATATGCTGTTCGGCGGCTTGGATACGGTAATAAAATGTTTATTTGTACCAAAAAAAAAATGTACATAAATATTTACGTTTTATTCAATTTACAGACATCTTCCACAGTCATAAATGCCCTTTTTTTACTTGCGAAAAATCCGGAAAAACAGAATATATTGCGAGAAGAATTGCGTACACTCCTCCCAAATGTCGATACTCCGCTGGTGGCACAGAATTTACAAAATATACCCTATTTGCGTGCTTGCATTAAAGAATCGATGCGCATAACGCCAATCGTAAGTGGCACAATGCGTGCAACTGGTCGCGATTTGGTACTTTCTGGTTATAGAGTGCCAAAAGACATTGGCGTACATATGAGAAATATGGAATTGTGCAACTCGGATACGTTCTTTGCACGTTGTAGTGAATACCTGCCTGAGCGTTGGTTGAAAACACCGAAAAATGTGCCGAGTGCAAACGATGCAGCCAAGATGCAGAATCCATTCGTTTATTTGCCTTTCGGTTTCGGTCCACGCACTTGCGTCGGTAGGCGTTTGGCTGATTTGGAAATGGAAGTCTTGTTGGCACGTTTGTTCCGCAAATATGAGATTACTTGGACTGATGAGAAAAATGATTTGGAGTATAAAAGCAATTTGATACTGACGCCATGTGGGGAAATGAAATTCAAATTTGAAGAGGTTGAATAGTAATTTGAAGGTTATACGAATATTTGCGGTTAGATTTCGATGGTATTTGCCTTTAGTTATAGATACAATTAATAAAAAAAAATTTAATTATAACTGAGTGGTTTTATTGGGAAGCAATTATTTAAAATATTGCGGATAAATACGAGTATAAGTATTTAAGTACATATGTATGTAAGTAAGTTATCGGGGCCTAAAAATTCAAAATCTTTTATAGTTTTATTTTGATACATCTTTCTTTCGCTTTTAATCTTTGTCATCCGTATGGCCGTCGCTGCCATAATATACCCACTGTCAAAGTTAAAGTTCAGTCACTTTGAGGAGGCCATACACTTAGCCCCAATGAGCCTTTGTCGTACTATTTAAACGGCTAATTTCGCAACTGTCCGGCAGCGCTTAGGTCGCCAGAACCTGGAAAACTACTCAACGGATTTGGATGAGATCTTCTCTAATATGTTCTGTATCAACAGGAGAGTGACCAGTTCTGCACCCTCATTGTCAAAGTCTTTTCCGACTTAGCCTCTAGATGTGCGATAATATATTATTTTTTCTAGTAGGGTTGCCATATTGTTACGAATGATAAGATCTTCACCATTCATTGAACTTAAAATGAGGCACCAAGTAAAAGGATGTGGTTTCCAGATGTGCTTTTACTTTTTTTGAGTGGCATTTTTTGTTAATGACATCAGATTTGTACAGTTCATTAATTATAAAAAATAAGGTGTCCAGCCAAAGACTTCACCTCCAGATGTGCAATAAGGTTTTATTTTTTCGAAGAGGGCTGCCACCTGTACGAAAAATTATAAGATGTGGGATGTTCATTGGACTAAATAGTGAGTTGTCAAATGAAAGGACTTAAGCTCCAGATGTGCAATAAGGTTTTAAAAAGTTTAAGTTTAAATAACAATAAAAAATAAAAACATTAAAAAAATTAAATAAATAAAGTAATCAAGTTTACGATGGCCAAGATAATACAGAAATTAGTGAAAGCTTTTTTTTTGTTTTTTTTAAGTTGTCCAGTTATTAAAAATGCACATGTACAATACAAATAAAAATTAATAAAAAAATAAAGAATAAATAAATAAAAAAGTGGGGTATTTTATTCGTGTAAACTTCTCGTGATAGGCCCGGGATACTGCATGTGTGGAAATGTACAGGCAAATAACAGGTTAAATTTTGAAAGAATTTTTAAAATCAATTTATCAAAATTAGTCACATGAATGAATTGTTTAACATAAAACGCACCACTATAAAAAATTTTTATTTTTATTTCTTTAAATTATATAATATTAAATAATTAAAACGATGCCCATATCTTATTACATTCAACGAGCAATTCTTGCATATAAATATATATATATATCCATAGGTTTCTCGGAAACCGCTTTAACAATTTGGATGAAATTTTGTATACAGATAATTTTTTGCATCTTTGGTTATCTAGATAGGCATTATCTCCGAAAATATTGGTATAAGGTTTCTACCTATTCGAAATTAGTTATAAACTAAATAACACATCACAATATGGGTATCAAGTGGAAAGTGTTTCGAAAATCCCCAATTCAGAAATATTTTTGAAAAGGGTTGCCACCTATTTTCTATCGCATATTTATTTAATATTTTGTTTAGGAAATTGACACACAATATTACTCTTTACTGATGGTAAAAGAAAGCTATTAAACAATGCTTTGCATATGTAGTAAGTGTTGTCGCTTAAGATATTAGTGTAAGGTTGCCACTCATTTTCGATTCTGCAAAATTCCTCTAAAATAACTTAATATGAATCTCAAATAAGAGGTATTTTTTAGGACTTTAATAATATTTTCGATGCGGTTTGCCATTACTTGATACTGAAACCTTGAAAACTTTAAAAAATGTATACATTCCGAGCAAAGCTCGGTCAACCTGGTGCTTGTGATATTAAATAGGCATACCTTTTTTTTAATAAAAGTGATTGTAACTTTTTAGATAGGTGGCAACCCTACTCCAAAATATTTTTTTATGCTGTGGTGCTTTTGAATAATTATAATATTCATATATCTGGCAACCCTATTTTTTTAAATTATGTTTCCAGAAACTTTCTACAGAAAATATCAAGTAGAAAATTCAAAATACGTGCCTTCTCGGATTTTTCATAATTTTTGGACACCTGGTACTTTTCGATGTACTATGGATTTTGATACTTAGTTTTTTCACGTTTAAATAATCAAAAAACAATTTTGGCCCCTTTCTCTTTCTTCTGGCCCACTGTGGACTACAGCGGCTGTTGAAATAACTTGAAGAAAAGACTTAAATACTTAAATTTTTTGCTTGCGGTTTCACAGCTACACATTACCCGCTCGCTTATATTGCGATGCATATTTTTGTTCAATAGTATTGGTTAAATGTTTTCATGGTAGACAAAGGTAATGCATTCTCTATTTGCCTACTGGGTAATTTCTGCTCTTCATCAACAGTGCCAAATATTTTTTGTTAAAATCATATGCTTAAATCCACAGTTTATCATTTTTCAACCCTAATTTTACTCCATTTACATATTTAGAAATTCATATATTTTAAAATTCACATTACTTAA